TGTAGAGCCTCTTGGGTATCTACAAATATAACTTTGTCTCTCGTAAGAGGGACCTGGTAAAATTTTTCACAATAAGACGATGATGGCACCCAGTCTTCACTCTGGGTTGAGTCCAAAAGAATATGTCTGAAAATAGGTAGGAAAAAGTCAAAATAAATATTTTATGGATCACTTCAATAAATACAGTAATTTGTTGAAGGAAAAGACTTTTCAGTAGTTTATTTTAAAAACAACTAGCAGATGCCAGAGCAAATCCATATTTTAGTGATAAAGTGATGAAGAAATAATTCTGCATATTATGTATATCTATATAGGAAAAATACATTTATTTTATTTTAAATATTTGAAAATACTAACCGTAAATGTTTAGGTAATGTCTGCTGAGTTTCCCAAACTCCACAAGGTAAGCGTTCTGGAGGGATATTGTATCTGATTGACCATTGAGCTGCTTTGCGGAGACAAGTATACCTGACTAACATGTCCACCAGCTGGATCTGAAGCTCCAAGTCATCTTTTATTACAGCCTGAAGAAAAGCACCAGACCAATTATAATGAAGGTGTCTCTAATATTGACACTTTATAACCATGCAGCACCAAGACTTACTTGCACAAGATCACTCCAGTTCTCTTCTGTCATTCCATGCTTGAAAAAGGACAGCAATAAAAAAAATTAATGTACATGATGTATCTCACACCATGTAAAGGAACTCAATTCTCTGAAGATGGATCACGTTGCACAGTCTAAAACTCCATCTTTACCTCCACAAATGCCTTGTACATGAGGTAGCGTAAAGAGTCTAGTCTCCTTTTATACAGTGCATTAGGGCACAGTGCTGGGAGATAAGAAAAAGTAAAAAAAATAAATGCAGATGAAAATTTTATTTTCTGTAAGATGGAAAGAAACACACCTTGATCAATATTGTACTTCTCCACCAGTCTTATGACATGTTTTGTAAGCATCTTGGGTTGAATTGCTCCCATGTGATGTCTGGAGAGGGAAAGCTGTGGAAACTGCCTATGAATGAAAAAATAGCCATCTCATTCGGTAAACCAGGGACACATTATCAAATTGTATTATATGTAACACATTCACATTTGGTCCATACATGATTATCTGGTTCACGTCAAAGTCAGGGTGGCACCAGGAGTCCAGCAGAGTGACAAGTGCTTGTACAAGGTGTTTATAGCCATTTACATATGACTCTGCCAATGACAACTTATCTTGCAAGATGAGTGGTATACACATCTATTAAAAGGTGATGGGGAAAAGCAGTTATATTTATGCACTATGTAACTTTTCTGATGGAGAGTGCACCACCTGCTCACGGTAGGAATGCATGTTTTTCTAGGTATTTGAGCAAATGCAAGATAGATAACTTCAATGACATATTAGGAACATTCCACACTAAGCAACATCATCCACCAGAAAAATTACATAGTCCACCCAAATATATATATTGGAATACTTATTTTAAGAATGTTTTATCTCACCTCCTCCACACTTAGTTGATCCTGCAACTTCAATTTAATGGCAATATCAACGGCCTTTGAAAAAAGAAATTAGTTTTACAATAATTACAGAGAATAATCTTGTTTTGAGCTAATTTTATATACCTCTTTATAAAAGTTAAGTGCTTGCAGTCTGATAATTTGTAGTTTGAGCACAGACGAATCCAGAGTGTTGAGTTGGTAGATGTTTATAAGAGCTTCCACAAAGTTGGATTGTGTGTCTGTAAGCAGGCGCAACGCTTGCTGCTGGAGAGACAATGCTTGTTGTTCTGGTAGTGAACTCAAGCTCACCTGGATAGAGAGAAGTATACACATATTTTAGATGAGATGACATTAGATTCACCTTTATTCATTTCACAGTTCAGAAATTCACTTTTTACAAATTACGCATAACTTTTTGCTCTACCAAAAGGATTTTCATAAATTACAGTACATATCTTTTTCTTTATGTTATGCACCATAACCACCACATTTAACATGCTTCTGTTGAGTGTACCTGAGGATGTTCTTTCATCCATGTCTGGAATTCCATGAGGATGCGGTAGCGAAGGGTGTGGCTCCGACCTTTTTGTTTGCCAGGACAGCTCTCCAGGATTGTTAGGATGGCCTCTAGGGGATCGCTGAGTTTTGAAAAGCCCTGGAGCGCAGCCAAATGTAGCTATGCAGGGGTGTATAGAGAAAAAAATTGCCTTGGGAATGTCGATTGAAAGAAAATGTAACATTTAAAAATGTATAACCTGAACAACACCAACTCTAAACAATCTTTAAAAAAAAATCTTCACAGTATAGCAAATAATTTTTATTGTGTTTACATAAGTAAGTAAAGAATTTATTATGATTTTTGTTAGTTTTGTTAGTGCCTCTGCACTTTGGTGCATTAGGACTAACTAAAATAATATTACGACAATAAATAATACTGAGATGCCACTGTTAATATAAAAATAATAAATAATCTTGCCTAGAAACACTGAATTGTGACACCTCTTGGAGCCTACAGCACATGAATGCAAAAACATAGATATTAAAAACATTCTATAAAATAATATGTACTGTATCTTTGTGCAAATTCCTCTACTGTTTCTTAATTTGCAAAACAGATGTCATCCACTCAATATCCTCCTCACACAGATCTCAAGTTCATTCAGTGCAGCACAAATTCCTTCCTTCCTACAGACAGACACTCTGGTTTCCTCATTAACAGACTGACGCTCACACACACAGTGAGATTCATTAAAACATGCCGGTATCCCAGTACCCAAGCTCCCTCTCTCTTGTGTTCTTTCCTGTGCAAGTGTCTTTAGCTGATGCGCAAAGGCTCCATCTTTCTCTATCTTTGACACACAGACACACACACATACACAAAGGCACACATACACACACACAGCTGTATGAGAGGAACTGTCCCATGCTGTGAAATCCATAGTGAAAGCACTCTCACCATCTTTAGATCATTCTGGGTCCATAGCTCCAAGAGTTGGTCTCTCAGTATGGCGGGGTCAAGACCTGTGTGCATAGATGAGGCAGGGTTTCACTCTGACCTGTGAACTCTATAAACCTGTCACGCAATCAAACCTTTACTAGACCCTTGGCATTTCATGTTTTGTGGTTATTTTCACTGCAATACTCTTCTATTAAAATTCTTCAGACTTATCTTTCAAAATTTTATTTTTGAAAACAAAATTGACAAAGGTAGCTGCAGGACACTCACCTGGCACCATAAGGACTCTATTAAGAACTTGTGTATGACTATTAACTATTTAATGGAATTCTTACCATTACATGACAACCACAGCTGTTAAAACAGTTTTACAATGTTGTGACTTATACATAAATATATTTAATACATTTTACAGGCTGTGCCTCTTGATACAATGAATAGTTAATCATTTCATTAACAGTTTTAGTAGCATATCGGAGCCGTGGATTAGCAGCTAGTAGGACAGGGAGGAAAGCCTATATTAGTGCTGCATTCCAGGTGAAGCTGCAGTCAAAATAGAGAGATCACAGATCATGTTTTCAAGAAAGGCTGTTGTGGCTACATTTTCAAAGTTTTATATCTACTTTACCTTGTAGATCTACTTTACCCCCCCCCAATCTCACTCTCCTTCCCAGGACTAGTTTTCCTGTTCTTCTCACCCTCCCTGCAGCAGCCTGTGTGGATTCTGTCTCGGATTTCCCCAGGAAAGGACTATGTGGTGGTCATGGTGTAAAAAATACAGCTTTCCTGATGCAAAGTCTGGGAAAGTAGGCCAAAAGGCCTTCTCCTCTCAGCATTGGTGATCTGTATTATATTGTATTGACATTTGACAACGTTTTCGATATTTACAAGAGTTTGTTCTTAATGTTTAGCCTGGTAAACTATCATTAATTAATAAATGTGGGTAATTTACTTAAAATACTTAAAAGTTAAACAATCCTATTAAAAGTGCAACTTATGATAATATAATAAAAAAACATAGGCTGGCAATATTACTTATTTGATGTGCTGTTTAGGATCATATTTGAACACTATTTGAATAACCCAGAACTCGTTTGAAGTCTCACAGTAAAGAGGGCACATGTAGAATGTGTGTGGACAGTAGTTTTATCTGTTGATTGAATTATATAATTAATTTATTCAAGCCTCATTATTCAAGACATGGAAGAATAGTGCTCTTCTTTATGTTGAGGATGATGACTGCATAATTTGTATTGGAATTTGAAACATTCTTGGACAGTTCTCATATTGTATAAAAATAATAAAGAAATAAATTCAACAAAGATTAAATCCAGGGACCCATAGGTGCATTAGTTTATTGCCATGTTCCAAAAAGGTGTTGAAATAGGGAATTTAGTACTAAATATAAAAATACCTATTATCAGGTGCTACTATAGAATCATTTGTAAACTCTGTGCCTACTTGAAAGAGGTTCTTGCTTCATAATGAATGAAAAAATGTTTTTAGAGTATGATATTTGATTTCATTAACTGATATATTTATTTGTGCTCCAAACCATAGATGGTCATTAGCAAATTAACACAATGAAATTGGTATTAACATAGTATAAACTGATATTAACATAGTATAAAATGTGGGTGGTAAATGCAGAGAGAACTAACCTCCTAGATCCAAATGGACAAGGCTCATTCTTCATATGCTTGATAGTTGGCTGGAGTTGGTCTGTTGAAAAATAAGGGAAACTGAAATGAAATTATATTTTCAGACTTTTTGATAGGTGTATAAGTAACAGTAAATCTTTAAGCCTAAATGTTAACTCTAATACAACTACTTGGAATGTATGAATACACTGAAGTAGGACTGGGCAATTAATTTTGATTTAATCGGAATCTAATCATGCAGCTCATGCTACAGCTGAGTGTATGCTTATTATCTTATTAGATAGCCCTCAACACAAGCAGCAACCCCCTGCAAGATATGTTTCACTGTCTTTCATCTCCCCCATGCGGTGGTGATTAAGTGCTACCACTAAAACACTCAAATGAGAGAGCCATTGCTGTTATCACCATCTTACTGTAACACCAGGGTCGTAACAGTTTATTTCTGTATTGATTGCATTCATGACTGCTTTATGTAATAAGCGTTTGTGCGTCTCAAAATTCGTCGATATTTAACGCAGCTTAGTCAGGATGCACTTTTCTTAGGGTGTTAGAAGCTGACACATATCTGCGCAGGTATGAGGGTGTACCTAAGAACATTTTCCCGACCTATTTGAAGATTTTTATTGATACTATTGCGATGGAAAAGGGAAAGAACTCACCAACTGTGACAGCATGAGTGTGGTAAACTACCGGGAAATGTAGGCTAATTTTTCCCATTGCTAATTCTCCTAGACACAAGTGGTACTGATATGTTTGGGTGTAATATTGCTAGTGTGTGGTTCTTCCATTTATCTACGCAAATATCACTAGGATTTTTGTTCAGAAAACAAAAAAAAATTAAGTGATGATCTGTCCAAATCTGGACCATCGTCAAGGGGCCACCCGACCAGACTTGTTGAGCCTGCAAGTCTATCAACTGGGATTCACTTAATGTTCTGGCTTTGACGCTTGCGACCCCATGTGGCAGTGAAAAAGAAATTAATACATTTGATTGTCCATAGCATTTTGATCACTATGCCCTTTGGAAACTCTTTTGAGTTTAATTGGGAGAGGTACAGAGATACCTGACTTGAATACTGAATAAAAAGAAGTGTGGACCGTGTATAAAAACATGCTACATGACAAAGAAAAGTCCAGAAATTTGGAGAATGTAAATACACAGGGCTGTCACGTGGGCAGAGTAGTGTACCACGTGGTTCATGTGTCACTTCTTAAAAAAGCCAAAAGGACTCTTTAGGGCAGCCTGTGCTGCATGTTGTTGTTGACAACTATGCTATTTGCTGGAGCAAAAGTTTCGTCTTGGTCCAGAACACCTTCTTATGGGCCTTGTCGATATGATATACCTGTATTAAAGAACAGTTCACGCGTCCTCACAGTTGAATACTAAAGCTATCCAGTGTGTTTCCAGCGGAGCTAGCGTTAGCCAGAGCTAGCGGCTAGTTTGTTGCCACAAAAGCAGTGATGGAGTGGATGGGCAACGGACGCCCGGTTTGTCCAGGAGAAGAATCTGCGACAACTAGAGGAAATAACCATGTCCAATCTCATCAGCAGGTAACAGTTAAACAGCTTCTAACGCCATTATTTTGAGTATGGTGTCAATTGTTTTGTTGATCATCTCGCTTTTATGAGTAAGACAGCAGTGACGGTAGCAAGGGTTTTGCTTTGGATTATTTTTTACGTTCTTCCAGTGCTTATGTTCCAAGCTCTATTTCTTCAAGACTAGACTCTGATTTCTTCTGTCTGCACTGCTACTTTGTGCATTTTATAATAAAATATGTTGCTGATTGTGCATGCGATTAGAGCTACTATTGGGTATGTGAGGCAACAGGACACTTACTGCGCTCCTGGATATTCTGAGCCCTCACAGCTGTGTGTGATGGCTGTTATGTTGACTGGAAGCTTCATTACGTATGTTTAGTCAGCTCTCCGACTAAACATAAAGTCGTGGCCTATTTGACCTCTAAAGTCGTTTTAAACATGGGGTTTTGATGCTAATATGTGCACATATTACACATTAGTTAAGGGAAAGGACACACTGTATATGCATGGGTTTAAGCTTCCATATGCAACATTTTGAGGACTTCCTTCCATTCAAAATATATACTATTTTATAATATTCGTCATTATGGCAACAGCCCTAATTTTTCATCATTCTGAAACCTATGTATGGGTATTTTCATCAGTATACATACATTATTCTTGAAATATAAGTAGTAGAGATGAATAATGAGTTGTAACTTTTACTGCAGTTCAATCTGAGATTACTGCACAGGGACCAATACTCAAGAAGAGATTTATGGACAATACCACATGAAAGTTTTTGTCTGTATGTCAAACTGCAGCTGTCTAAATGTCAAACTCTGTTAATGTTTTGCCTATGCCTGACAAATTAATTAAAAGATTGTTACACAAGTGAAGTATTTCAATTATGAAATGATTATGAAATATGAATTAAAGGGATAATTAAGCACACACATTATCATGGCATATTCTCTGTGCACTAAAAGGGAAAGGGATCTGGCTGCAGACCTCCACCCAGTGGACCCAATCCACAGACCTCTACCGGGATACATATTGACAATTAAATATGTGTTTTGTTTGCTGCGTTTTGTTGTCTTTTAAACTGCTAATTCCCCTATATAAATAGAGTAGAGCACAGACAACACAAACTTAATTTCTTAGGAAACTTTCCCTTGATATTGCAATAAATATCGTACCGTGAGGTTCATACCGTGACGATATCTTATCATGAGACTTGGATATTGTTACACAACTACTAATATAACATGCTAACAGAGCATGATAATTGAATACACCATAACATTGTGTTTCATATTCTGTTTTTTCTCCTACAGCAGTCCCTGTCATCACAGCTTTGCGATAGTGCAATGGCATCTCTTTGTCAGAGCCAGCAGAGCTGTGTGAAGGCCTCAGTCATGTCTGGATGGAGACTTGCTGAGGCCCAGGATCAGTTGTGTTCCCTGGAGGTTCACAGCTCCGAATCTGTGGAGCAGGAAAGGGCTCGGACCAGGGTCTGTCCCTCTGAACTCTCACACACAGAGCAGGAATGGCAACGCAAGGAGAGCATGTTGGGCAGTCTGGAGCCCAGCTGCAGCCCTGTCATGGGAGTCTCTGCAAGCTGGGATGTTTTTAACAAAGTGAGCTTAAGATGGTTTACATGCTTTTTTTTTTATTTTTTATTTTTTTTTACTTTATACTTTGTTGTAGTACTTTGATGTATTTAATCATAACACATTTTTCCCCAGAGTATAATTAATGTTCAATATCCAAGTCAGCCTATAGACCAGGAACAGGAGAGCTGCAAAACATTTATCCAAAAATATGAAGAAGAGCTTAGACATTTTGGTAAGGAATGCCTTTTACAATAGTGGTTTGATAATTTTTTAGTTGTCTGAAGAAACTGAACTTTCCAAATGGTTAAATTTGTTTTTGTTTTTTTCCAGGTATGCTGCATAGATGGGACGATAGTCAGCGCTTTCTTTCAGACATACCTCACCTTATTTGTGAAGAAACTGCAAACTTTTTAATTCTATGGTGTATCACGTTACAACAAGAAGGGGTAACTATTTCACCTTTGTGTAGTGTTGGTATTATTGTTGTTTATTAAAATGCATTATATTGTTTTTATGATTGTGTGTGCGTAGTTCAGTTTTATGTGATTCATTTTCATTTATTCTGCAGAAAGAAGCACTGATGGCACAGGTAGCTCACCAAGCTGTGGTCATGCAGTTTATCCTGGAGATGGCGTCAAACTCTAATCAGGATCCTCGAGGCTGCTTTAGACAGTTTTTTCATAAAGCCAAAGTATAACATATTAGATCTGTTTATAAGAGTTTAACCACTTTAAAGTTACACAATACTAACATTGTGTTGCCAAATAGGAAGGAAGTAACGTCTACCAGGAAGTCTTCCATTCAGAGTTGGAGGCCTTCAAAGTTCGAGTTAAGGATTATGCATTCAAGTGTAAAGAGAAGTCAATAAACAGTGCTGGGCAACAGAGAAGTGACCCTAAAGACTCTTTACCCTCAGTAAGTCATACTTGTTAGAAAAATGTGATGACATTTGTAACTGTAGTTGTTATTTCTTATATTCTGACAGGTTGGCATCATGCCACAGTGTTAGAGTTTTCAAATTTCCAAAGCTTTTTGTAATACCTGAGTTTGAACCAAATGTACATTAGTAAATTTTACTAATACACCATACTCTAATTACAATAAATAAATAACTGATTTCAGATTTGGCCCTCTGCTTAGAGTACCGCTAAATAGACAAAAGCTTTTGGTGAACTTGTGTTTGAAACCAATGGGGAAAGAATGCAGCTCAGCCTGCTTTCGGTAAAGTCTGTTAGGAAAGCTACGTGTTCAGAGTTTTACATGTGATCTTTAGCCTTCGTTCAAGCAAATTCAGTTTTCTAAATATAATTGGACACAGATGCAATGGCCTGGGAAATATCCCTGTTCATTTTAAAACTATGCCATAAACCTCCTATTTTGTTCAACATGTGCTTATGTACTATGTATTCTTCCTTTACCAGGTGGAAGAGTGCTCTATGAAACATGGACTATGGACAAATACAGTTAGGTTGACAAAGGAAGACAATGCAGAATCTGAGGATATTCTCATGATGGAAACATCTTAATGCAACTTCTCGCTCAATGAATGCCCCAAGTTCACACAGACCAGGAATACATGGCATGGTTGGCTAGGCTGTGGTTGACAACTGAACAGAGCTTCCACTAGTTTACACTAATCAATATTGCTGTTTTTGTGTATGTGAGGTTGGTCTCTGAATCCACTACTGGCTAGGCTTTTAGCTGCATGACAACTAAGTGCCATAGCTTTTAATTCTAACCATTGTTTTACTATTTTTATTACCCTTATCATCCTCAGACCTGACAATGTATATTATGTATTCATTATAATTACATTATAATTGTAACTGAATAATCATGGGTTCACAATTCCAAATTACAATATTTATAACTTTTATTAGCTTTGACTGCATAAAATATATGGAGAGTGTTGCTATGGCACTAAGTTGACATGATGGACTCGGGTGAATACTTCATCTTGCAATGAATAATCTAAATGAATCTACAACAAGCAAAGGAACTGTTTTGATCTAAGTGTTTTTGGTGTGTTTTGAGTTTTAGGGTAGCACACATTAAAACAGAATCTCATTTGGGGAAAAATGAATGCAGTCAATGCTTTTGCATCCTTCAAAGCATTCAGCATTTAAATTGATGTGATGACATAATCTTAACTGCGCATTATTTCTTGATATGAGCAGTTCATAAACCAAATTTGCCCTTCTAATTAATTTGTAGGATTTATCATTGAAACTGAGGGTGGAGGGTTATTTTCCTTTTTTTTTTTTTTTTGGTCTGTTTCATAAAATGTAATATTTTTATCAGCTGCTAAAACATTGCTAATAAATATTCATTTATCTTTTTTTCTTTTTTTTCTAATCCAATCAGTGTTCAGTAAACTCAGCGTAGGATCTTTTCCGGTCACATAAAATTCCTCGTTTTGCTTGAATTTTCATTTGGGATTTTTAGCCCATCAGCTTTCCTTCTTTTAAACCAATGTTTGCATGTTCTTGCACATGTGATTTGCTTCACTAGGCAAGGCATTTGATAACCAATCAGGAGATTAAAGGAATGGTTAGGACAAGGGAGGTAAATTAACTGACAAAAACACCTGTAGCTGTGTTGATCTTGCAGAATACATTGTCTGCATTGGAATGTGTCCAGCACTTTATGCTTGCTTCTCAGAAAACTGTTCAAGTTTGTAGTCATGTGTTTCACACATTTTACATTAAAATAAAGTCTGCTTTGTTGTTGACCATTTCAGTAGTTTGTTTTTATTTCATACTGTAAATTGTTGTTACATGTATATTTTCTATTTTCTACACAATTATCTGGCATGTTGACAGTACAGCGAAACCTTCTGGAGGTGGCTCACCTGCATGAGCCCATGAGAAAAAGTTAAAGCCAAACTTTTTTTTTTTTTATCACTGTGGAAGATTACAGTCAAAGTTAAATATTCCATGGAAACAAGCAGGAGACCCTCTTCCAGGTCAAGTAAGCCTGCTCAAAGTTTTTCAATGCAATATACACTAACAAAGCTTTTATTTTAGTCAGTTTTTGGATACAAAGCTTCATTCTGAGGCTTTAAATATTTTTTACCAAATAAAATTTAATCTCAACTCAAAAAACAACTGATGTGTCACAGGTTTTATTACCTCTTATAAATAATGAACATGTAAGAGTCGTGACAAAACTGTATTCAAAATATACATTCAGAGTTCAAGGCAGACTTCAGTGGTCCTTTCAAAGACTTTGCAATGGACATACAATGCAAAATGGGTTAAATCTGAAGGCAACTTTCAACAAGGCTATTTCCCCCCCAATTAAACTGTCTTAGTATCTGACATATATATTATGTCTCAATAACTTTATATAAACTACATTCAATGAGCTTTGAATATTTTTTTTTAAAAAGGCATCTTCGCTTGGAAATGGACAAGGCCCTCTAAAATCTGCACTAGTGCCTATCCAAAGACAGTCAAGGAGCTTGGTCCTGTCTGGAGTGTTACTGTATCATTAAAGTAATGCCACACAATCAAATATCCCTCTAAGCACAATCAAAGGCTTAATGAAGGCACACTGCAGAATGTATAAAAATAGTGCAATGTTAAAACAACATTGATGTTGTAGTATTGCTTTCTGGTACCATGTACCTGTGTGTGTTCCACCATTGCCTTATCAAAAAGGAGACAATGCAGAGGAGTTGTTTTACATGTTAGTGTCCCTAATGGCCTTGGTAACTCCCTTATGCTACTTTTTTATTGAGTATAGAGAGTTTTCTATGGAGAAACTTCTCAACATGTGGCCATATCTTGTTGGTTTCCGTACCAGAAAAGGTTTCCAATACACCTTTACTTCTGAAAAACAAAATAGGCAACAGTGAGAGGAAATATCAAACAACATGTACAGTCACCAGTGCTACATGTTATTCATTGGAACATGAAGCCACATTTAGCCAAAAGCACACTGAGTTGATTTTGAATCAAATATCTCAAGGTTATTGAAGAAATTAAAATATGTGAAAGAAATATTGTACATACATAAAATGTGAAATGAATACAATTATAAAGAAAAAGCTCTATCAGAAGTATGCATAAGGAAAGTATGACAGATATGACTAGTAGACTAGTCATTTGCTGTATTGTATTAACATTGATTAAATAGTTTTGTACCATATGTAAATCCAAATAATGTTATCATATATTTTGACCCACCTGTAATATTCTAGGACAGGTTCTGTCTGATTTTCGTAGGCCTTGAGTCTGCGTGCAACTGTGTGTGGAGTGTCATCATCTCTCTGGACTAGAGGCTCCCCTGTCACATCATCTAAACCCTGTACATTTCAGGAAAACAGTCAAGCAAAAGCAGAGAAATCATCATATACATAGCCGTTGGTAGGAAGGCTTCGTATCTTCCTTGATTCAGAGGTGATTAGAATGTCAACAGTGCTCACAATAAATGCATCTGGTTATATTTGCTGTTTTTGCTAAAGAAGAATATATTCTTCTTCTTCTTCTTCTTCTCATTATTATTATTATTATTATTATTATTATTAAGGAATGCATTAATTATTTTTACATATTCATTTTTAAGGTGACAAAATTATATACTCACAGGATCCTTGAAGGTTTACAGATGTGTTAAACACATCATTCTACAATTCTCAACAACACTGGCTAATGACATTATTACTTAATCACCCAGCCAACTGTCTAATTCCCTGATTTATTTAGCTTTCCAACAGTCTGATACAACTACTGTGAAAATGACTACTCCAGAAAATCATTATCTTATCAGTCTGTCTTTTATGTGTTCCCTCACATTGTCATCTTCCAGACAGGACTGTTAAGAACAAACTCAGTGGGTAATCATTAACCATAAATACACTACTGCAAAATGTGCTGACACATACAATCCATAAGGTTATTGAAAATGTCTAATTCAAGTGAAAGACTATCCATGGTAATCCCCTTTCTCCTCCCCAGGCTATTCACGCTTGTGTCCTATTTACCCTTCCTGTTTGTATGCTAATGTTTTTTTGTCAATAAGTAACTCCATTCATGTGACCCAACATGTATTGCATTCATGATCTATTCTCTTGTTTAGTTTGAAGCCTTTATTCCTTTTCCCAACTTTGGTAAAGGAAAATGTACTTACAGGGATTTTGGGAGGGTTGAAATCTATATTATACACTCTTCCACTGGCTGTGTGTGTCCATCGTGAGGACAATCTCTTTTTGATGGTGTCAAATGGAACATTGAGGTTGATGACTGAGTCCACACTGTATGCATCATCAAGAGCTTCAGCTTGAAGGATTGTACGGGGGAACCCTGGCAGAAGACACCCATTTAAGAGAGGTTTTATAATAGGAGTTACACAGTAAACCTGTGCATCCTTACCATCCAAGAGCCAGCTGTCATTGCCCAGTGCCCGCAAATCATGGAGGATGAGCCGAGCCATCACATCATCAGGAAGCAGCTGACCCTGATCTATACAGGCCTTCATCAGAAGACCCAGCTCTAATGTGCATAGAAAAACAAATAGACCGTTAGCAGAATAAAGGAAAAAGTTACTCAGCATATAGAATAACAACACATTTAAAAAAAAAAATAAAGATGTCAACAGAAATGTGATTTCATTTTTTGATACCACATTGTATTTCCTAAACGATAGTCATTAGAACAATTATTATTCATGCTTATTAAGCATAGAATAAGTCAGGGGTGGGCGATAATTTTTTTCCTGAGGGCCATATCCAGATCAAAGAATATGCCAGAGGGCCGGACCAACTAGGTAAGTGGTGTCAGAATATCAAATATAAACACATTTTTGTAGGCTGCTGTAATCTATTGCTACACAATAGTAATTAATATAAAAACTTGCAAAGGGCCAAGTTAAAACAGGCCAAGTGTTATACTAGTAACACTAGTATAATGTATAACATTGCATCAGTTTATTATCTGGCAGTCAACAACAATACCAATGCGATTCATTCTTTCTTTATGCGATTCATTCTTTCTTTGTTAATCTTTCACTTTCACAGATTTTATAATAAACTGAAGCATCAGGATTGCCTGAAATATTTGACCTTCTTGAACCAATGCTACAAGTTTTAAACCTAAAATTAGTATTCACAAGTAGACCAAGGGGCTCAGACACTGTGTTTTGTCAGCTGAAGAAAGGAATTTCCTGGCATGCTTCAGTTCCTGACTGTGTATACTCTTTGACACCAAACCTGCATTTGAATGAAACATTCTAGGTCTACTCTACATGTGTGCAATCTTTTGTGCCCACTAAAGACTTCTGTATCAGGATTTCTTTATTCACGTTAGCAAAAAATATTCTAACTTTCTGTTGCACAACCCCCAGTGAGGCAAGTGTGGGGGTTGGGTAGGAAGATTTTGGTAATCTGACAAGAAGAAAGTGGGGGACTACCCTCTCAGCAGGAGTTGCGTTGTTCACTTAGTATTACTATGGAATTGGATGTAAATGTATCCATGGCACTGGATACATTACACTGCAGAAAATAGGCTCGTGGGAAGATTAAACTGTGACAAATTCAGTAAAACAAACATGTCCAAGTTTGTTAAGGACATTTCAAGCAGAGAATGTCAACTAGAGGTGCTTTGCTTGCCAAGTGTTTTGGGGTAGTTGTCAGCTGCAGATTGCGTGCAGAGTGCACTGTGAATAAACTGAATAATTACACTGAGACTCGTTTAACCTGTTCATGAATTATGCTCTTTCCTTATGCACACCACCTGGAGATGTTTGTCGTATACATTTTTGCCCTGTTACAGTAAGCATGTTATGCCATATGAGTTGTGTATTCAGTATCAATCATTTAAAACCTTGTAGGTCTGACCTTGGATGAAAAGACTGACTCCTAGAAACATTGTGTGGCCCTGCATGATAAGACATGTTACTGTATAGTCAACTCAAGGTGTGGTGCTCTTATCATCTTTAAAGAGACTTGCGAAAGTCATCGTTTTCAGAAAACAGAACTCTCTGTAATAAACTTTCTGTATTCGTCATGAACGAATTTGTGCAAAAAGATACCTTACCCGTCTTTGCGTTCATATTGTTTCTTAAGATGTCTCCACTTGAAACATGTTTGAGTCCAAAAGTTTTCGTTATGCGGTTAGATATTGTTCCTTTCCCCGACCCTGGGGGTCCCATGATGACAGCTCGAAAAACCCTCTGTAGCACCATCTCTGAACTGTAGACACTTCCACTTATCGTGAGAATATAACGCCTTTGGATGATACAATCAAAGGCGCATTTGCATATTCGGTTTCAGCTGAAGGTCAGGCGACTTTCCTCACTGTCTCAGAAGTGCGCAACGTAAAAAGTGGGCATGTCTGGGCTGCTCCCACTGGACCTTGATCCGTACCTCAGCCTCAAGTATCAGGAAGAAAAGTGGGAGGGATGAAACGTGCAAGTCCCCACGGAGACTCCCGCACTGGTGATGGGTGACTGTCCTAACTACTGATATGACCTGCTTCTTTTAGAAACAGGTCTATTGTCTGCTCATCTCAGATACATTTATTGTATAATCCTGTTATGCAATTGCATGATTAAGCCCTTCCGCGCCTCGCTGCAAGGCTGCAGGTTGAGCGTGATGGATATTTAATAGATCCACGTGGACATCCAGCACCATGACCATAAAGTTCGTGAATTGCCTTGATATGTGTATTTTACAGTACTGTTCCAGTGGTACAACACTGGTTTTAAATCTTGGACAAGTAATAATAGGCATGGATATTCCTTATAAATACTCTAGCACAAGCCTTGTCGGAAATGCTTGAACATTAAAATAGTCTTATGTGCCTCCATCTGCGTGGCACAATTACGAGTTAATCAGAATATTTTTCACTTTTATGCCACGTGGTATAGTCAACAACAACCACACCCTGTCGTCTCCAGTTCTGCGTGTTGGCGCCATCATGTGGTCGTCAAATGTAGCGCATTTAGAAAATTTGGTAAAATGCTCGTTTGTCCCTTGTGCTTTGCCGTACAATCGCATCTCATCAACACACACGTGGATTCTACTGACGCCTGGCAGAAACAATAATAACATGGCAAGTCAGGGACTTGTATATGATGGCTGTAATTTTTTGAGGCAGCGCTTGGTGTTGTCCACACTCAGCGGAAAACGAGTTAAAATCAAAAACATAAGGTCGAGGGATGACGAACCTGGGCTTCGTGGTAAGTTTACCTTTCTTTGCGAGTGGCGTCGCAGTTAGCACAGTGGCTAATCTGTTAGCTGTTACGCAGTTGGGAGTGTGTTGTTTACTGGGCAGTAGAGGTGAACAAATTATGGGACAGAGCAACAATCGTATGCTGTCATCCAATGACCTGCACAAATGGAGTTCTTCACTTGATCACTGTATTTATTTTCATACTCTAACTCTGAATCACTAGATTTTGAAGCCAGTTTTATCAGACTTCTGGACAAAGTGACCAATGGCTCCAGAATAGAGATTAATCAAACAGGTTTGTTTTCATTTTATCTTACTTGTCTACTAATGCTCATGATAATGGTTGACCATGATGAGTATAGTTCCAATTTAAAGTAACAAAAATGACTCTTTATCTTTTACAGGAACTGTATTATTCTACCAGCCTGGTTTATTGTATGGTGGGTCAGTTGAACACGAATGTAACCCACAGCGTTCCATTGGCTACTATCTGGAAGCGCTGCTCCTACTTGCACCTTTTATGAAGACACCTTTGCAGGCAACACTAAAAGGAGTAACAAATGATCCCACAGACCCGACAGTAAGTGACTACTGAATTTAAATTAATGATAGACTAGAATTTCTCTGCTTTCTAGTATGCAAATGTCAAGACAAAGTGAATGTTGATGTCAGAGGTTTTTGCGAAACTGGACAACAGTAAATATGACAATATTATTTTTTAGGTTGATCTCCTGAAGCTAACCTCCATACCTCTGATGAAGAAATTTGGTATTGATGGGGAAGGACTAGATCTAAAGGTAAGGTGCAGTCATACTAATAACACACAAAAAAAAACAAAAAAACATTTAGATAATGCCTTGAGTCATCTGTCTTTTTAGGTTGTAAAAAGAGGAATGGCTCCTGGAGGGGGAGGAGAAGTTGTTTTCAAATGTCCTGTGCGCAGAACAATCAAACCAGTCCAACTTACTGACCCAGGGAAGATCAAGAGGATTAGAGGAATAGCGTATCCTTCAAATAGTTTCTGTTGACACAAATTACATTTTTGTTCTGTTTTTCAAATCCCACAATCTCATTTAGAGATATTAAACAGAACCACGCAAGCCCACCAAGTGAATATAGAAATTTTGTCTGTCTTGACCTTGACCTTTCATTTTAGATATTCTGTTCGAGTTTCTCCACAGATGGGCAATAGAATAGTTGAATCAGCAAGGAGCGTTCTTAATCAGTTTCTTCCTGACATCTACATTTACACTGACCACATGAAAGGCACACATTCTGGAAAGTAAGTAGTATGTGTATACTGTTCAAATTTTATAAGGTCTGCTTTATAATACATTTTCTATATGTTAAGATCCCCAGGTTTTGGATTAACGTTAGTGGCTGAGACCCTAAACGGTAATTTTCTTAGTGCTGAGATGTCTTCAACGCCACAGGGTAAAGGGGATCCTGTACTACCTGAGGACATCGGGAAAAACTGTGCTAAACAACTTTTGGATGAAATATACAGGGTATGTAAAGTCAGCATATTATAAATATGAGATATCTACTGAACAACCCCATTAGTTATAGTTGGTGTCACATGTAGAGATTGCATTCTGAAATATCCGTAAGGGGTGCATTTCTATACCATGAAAGTTATTATTAATAAAGAGTTCAACCTGGAGGAAAAAGCTACATATTCATGGGTTTCAGAATAATAAAAATGAGCAGCTTCCATAGATTTTAACTATTGAAAACAAAATGTATATCTTTTGTCAAATGTGCTCAAAATGTTTTGATAAAGCAGAAGTTCAAACCCACGAAATCACATTAAAATGCATATAATAGCTGTGATGATACTCTCCTATCAGCAAAGTGTGGATGAGGTAAATCATTATTGCTATAAAACCACAACAATAATATTCCTTTAACAAAAAAAATCATAAGGCTTAGGCATGTGCCTGTGTGTTTGAGTTTAGTAACAAACACTTGAATAAATACATGACTAGCTGCCCAATGTTTGCGTATGGTTGCATATCATTGATCCCAAATAATATAAGAAGCATTTGGCTTAATTTAGTTTTTAAAATGGTGTTTTACTTTTTGTACTGTATCTTTTTGTTGTATTAAGAGAAAGTTAATTTGTTTTTGCTTGGGTGAAACCTTTTTTAAATGGAAACTTACCACGACTATATCATCAGATCATCAGAATATGCCAGTGACTGTGACTTAATCTGCCTGCTCATGGCTCTGCCCTCTCTCATCGAAGCCATGTGAGTCCATTTAACTGGTCAGGGTAGTGCTGATTAACTCTGAAAGAGGAAGATTGTTGGACAGATTCTCCAGCTCAGAAACAAGAGTTAACCATTCTGTTTATCTGGTGTGGAGCAAATCGGAAGGTATTTCTAAATACTTTGTTTCTTATGATAAACTATTAGATAAGGTAGAGTGGTGGTGTTAGCCTAATTTTCTTATCATTTTAGATTGATATTTCTTGACATGCTTTTAGCTTCAGTTTAGAGAAGGAATCTTAAAAAGAAGCCATATTTCATGTCATGATTGTTGAGGATCATTTTTTGAGGGCATTGACGCTAACTTGTCTATTTGTTTTGTGGTTAATGAGTAGTTTACTTGTAGTAAACCTAAGCAACGCATTAGAGATTTTCTTTAATCCATGGTTGCTGCTGCTGCTGTAAATACACTACGCAGTCAACATGTGTTAGTGAAGTTAGTGTTAAGTAGAGACAATTACACATTTGGCAACTAGAGATGATTAAAAATGTCTGGAAGTGTATTCCCATTCCCAAGTAGATAACCTTTTTTTTTTTTTTTTTTTTTTTACCCTTTAAGGTAAGTGTCAAAGGAGAATTGATTATGTGTATCCTAAATTATTAAAATGATTCATTTTAGGTGACAAAGTGGAACCTGTTAAATATTCATTTCACATATGTAATTGTAGAGGCTTTCAGAGACTTTTGGCCTGGTTCATGGGTTGCTTTGGAATTTGACGCAAAACTTGTAATGAATCTTGTTTTTTATTGGTTCGCTTGGCTACAGAATGCAGTTAGGGCTTATTTCATAAACATAATCACTATAGTTAATTGTGCTGCTGTTATATAATTATGTAATTCAATCATAATTTTGCTGACACAAGCTTAATTAGAGCTTCATAACCCCCTGACCTTTCTTTATTACATACTTACAATGGATACTTGTACAATTTGCAACTTGTCTGTAACATGCAGACTCTTTTACGGACTCTTTAAATTGACAAATTGTTCATGCTGTCATTAGGTCATTATGATGGTATGAGACCTCATTGAAAAAAAGAATGGATTGTCTTCATTGAGCAGTTAAGACAGTTTTATGATAATAAAGATTTTCTAGAAACCTTACTTTTTAACAGAAAATTTCAAGGCTAGGAATATTGAATCAAGTGACTTTTTTTTAAAACAGGTATTTACAGATAAAAACATGTTTTTCTTTTTTTTCCACATTACTTTCTATGGTCATTGGAGTCATTGGAGCTTTATGTAATGCAAAAACAAATCCTGACTGGGGTGATCGAGTTCTTTACTCTCTCCACCTCTATGACGTCCGTTTTTGAGCAACCAAAACAACACATCACCCCTCCTCTTTTGTCTCTTTTAGGGTGGCTGTGTAGATTCATCCAATCAGAGCCTGGCATTGCTCCTGATGACCCTTGGCCAACCGGACGTGTCTAAGGTGCTGCTCGGACCCCTCTCCCCATACACGTAAGCCATCATTCACACCATATTTTTTAATACTAAGTTGTACTTTTGTAGATTATTCACAAGTTACGCAACAATATGGAACATGCAGATCTACTACAGATAACTTGGTCTGTTTTTGTCCACCTCAGCCTACTAAATGAGTAGCTTCTTGGATGCTAAAATGTTCTAATGTAAAAGCTGTTAATTCTGTGTTTTTCTTTGTTTTATTACTTATATGTATGGAGAACACCATGAACTGTCCATTTTCAGTTATCATGGTACCGGTGCTGTGTCCCTCTCAAGTACAGTACTATGATAACTGAAGATTGGCAGTGCCATCACAAAGCTCCCTCTTCATTGTGACATTGTGCTTAAATATGTTCTTAATAGAAAAAAATAAGCTATATAACATTTTGAATTTTTTTTTTTTTTTTTGTTCCAGGATTGAATTCCTCAGACACATTAGAGATTTTTTTCAGATCATGTTCAAAATAGAAGTCCAGAAGCCTCTTGAAGATGAAAGGAAAGGTGGAGACAAAACCCTTATGGCTTGCGTAGGAGTTGGATACAGCAACATAAATAAAACTCTTAAATAAACATTTTATTCAGATTGACTTAGATATGGTATCCTTTTATTACAATTAGTTGTGCATACTACAAAATTCTAAGTTGTAGAAGGTTATTAAATAGAAAACATAATATAATTACTTTTTTATTTAGACATGAGTATTTGATTCTACATGAATTCGGCTGTGAAATATCTAGGCCTGGGTAGAAATTGTTGGAATACCTCAGAGGGCAGCAGTAAATTGTTACAATTTTAGAAGTGAACTATTTTAATAAAATGCTTAATTTTCCTCGTCTTTTCAAATGCTGAACTACACCACATGTTTCTCATCTTCTCTGAGGGTGGAGTTAGTCTTGTCCACACAGATGTTTCAGGACATCACCATAGCAACCCGAAACTTCAGACTGTACAAACATGGAAGAGTAAAAAGGTACAAAATGAAGAATTGCTGGCATTTGATGTGGCTATGTCATTACATTGGACTATACCAACCTCGAGTTGGGTGTAGAGTGAATATCCAAAAAGCTTTTTGTACTCTGCTCTGATGTCCATTAAATCAATTTCTGAACGACTGACCAGAATCCTGGTCAGAGTGGACTCTGTAGTACCTGGACCCTGAGCAAGTATAATACTGTTAGCATACAAAATATTCAATGGGGAAAATTCTAAATCTGTAATCTGACCCCATTTCAAATTAAAGGCAAGTGAACTGAAATGGGTTCATGGTAATAGATTAGATTCTTCTCTAATGTATTGTGTGCTGCTGACCCACATGCTCATCCATGTTTTTATATGTTTTATTTGTCTAAATAATTTCACTTCATAATAGTAAGTTTTTAGACAGATGCAGACTCTTGCTTATGTTTATCACTTTACTGTGAACTGAATGAACAGGAAAAGAGTGACTTAACATTCCATCTAAAGCCACGACTGACCAGTACAAACCTTGTAACCACAAGCTACACTGAACAATACATGGATTTGAGAGCTTCATCAGAGATGTGGGCAGAATAGCAGTAGTCATGGCACATGCCGAATGGCATGTTTACTTACTTTCATACTCTTGAACAGTATCTCTGCAAGGTATGCAGGAACATTCTTCACACATTTCACTGAGGAGAAAACACAAGCAATTGAAATTTAAGGAAGATCTAATTACAAGCATACAAAAACAAAACTTTTCTTACCAACAGCAACAAGCAATTTCTCCAGATCGCCAGACATCTCACTTTCTATGCTTTCCTGTAAAGTTTTTTTGCTAATTTCTTTGTATTCGATCAAAGCTGTGAAATGTTAGATAAATGTTATTTTTGTATTTAATTTCATCAATGAATAATACCTTCAAATTAGCACTCACTCTGCCGCAATTGTGGAATACTCCTGTGGCATAAGATATCAATGAATTTGGCTTCATCAGTTCCCCATTTTTTCTCCCCAGCTTCATACAAGGCCTGCCAAATTATTATTTATTTATGAATCCTTCCCAAAATATTGGAAACAAAAAATTGTATGGGCAGACCTTTGCATCTGCCTTGGCTTTAGCAGCATCAACATGGGTGCTCTCATCTCTTTTGCCCTATGATTACATTTTAATTACTTTGAGTAATTCTGCATGGTTACAGCTGATTTATCATGATTCATGCACATTCATACCAGAGATGCAAACACATATTGCATTCAGCTTGTTCGTACCTCAGCAAGGATGAGGAGGGCTTTGCCATACTCCCCACCCACCTCCCCCTTTAGGTCATGAAGCATTGATCTTCCAGTTTCTATAGTCACAGCACATTTACAGTAAGTTACCAAGAGTTACAACTGTATACAATAATGTAAATAACCTATGCACCAACCTGCCAAATAAGCTTCAGACAAAGCTTTAATTTGTTTGTTGGACCTAGAGGCAAATATTTCAGTCAGTGTACTCTCTGTTGTTCCAGCTCCCTATGGTAAAAACATACAAAGATTTAAAGATATGAGAGTGATATCTGTTAGAAAAACATGAAAATGTATAATATTTGCTTAATAAGCCTTTGCCAATCTCACCTTTATTGCTTTAATCACTTCTTTACAGTCATAAACTACAGGAGGTGTTACCAAAGCAACAAGTACATCCTCGAAATCTCCACTGGTGTCACCCTTCAAGTCATCTACCAGTTTCTGAAGGAATAAAAAAATAAAAGTTAACATAGAAACATGTCTGTCTAATCTTAAATAAATAATTTTATCCTTCACCCTTCCAGTTGCTTTCTCATATGCTTGAGCAATGAGCTGTCGCTGTGCATTACTTCTTTGGGTCAAGACCTCAATCAGTGTTTTTTCAGTTGTGCCTATGGAAAGAAGATTATTAAACTTAAAACTGCCCACATGAGAGACAATAAGAAGCTGCAGTCAATAAATATAAAATATATACAATTTGTCAATACAGTTAATGTAAATCCTACAACACACCAAGACCCTCTATGGCCTTCTTCAACGCAGAAACATCTTCATCAACTTTGAAACTTGAGTAGTCTGTCACAGTTCCTCTTGTATTTGACTGAAACACACAGGTGATAAACAATACAATGTCTTTTGAAAGCCACATCAGCTCACATGTTTTGCATAACTTTCCAATCAAGATATAGCAAATATAAAACAACTTACAGTGATGGTCAGCGAGGAAGGGGAATCCAATAGCAGATCTAAGTCATCCTTCAGTGTTCAAACAATATAATAATTATTAATACAGGATAATTATTATTAGCCTACAATTAATGGACCCAGGCTGTACTCACCCACACAGACATACTTAAGTCGTAGACAATGAGGCCTCTATAACCTGTAGAGAAGAAATAATGATTAATGCCAATGATCCTTCATTGCATTACCATAGAATTCTCCACATTTTACTACACTTTTTATTCCTCCAGACCATCATGTTTAAAGTTTAAACAGAAGCAAATTTATTTCAAACACACACACACACAATAAAACAACTAATTATGCAACAACACAGGTTATTCTAACAAAAAACTAAAATAGTTCCTTAGGCAAATTATGCTGGAGTTTTTGGATAAAAGAATGGGCCTACTTGAAGGTAGACCTAATTACGTAAACATGGGACTTACCGCGCTGCCCTAACTGATGCTGAAATCGTAGTTTTTGAATCTTACCGAGATGAAAGGAAGACAAAGGAAGAGCTTAGAAACGAGTGTTACAGAGCTGCCGCACCTTTTCCCAAACAAGTCCAAATGGCAACGCCCATTAGGAGGAAGTTGAATCGCAGTCATATATATATATATATATATTTTTTTTTTCTATAAACTTCGTTTGGTTTACAGATCAAAAGAAAACATCACTGAGGATCATTCAATGTCGTACAAATGGACCTATATGATTCAGTAATGCAATGAAACTAACGTTTGGGTGTTTGAGCAATATTTCTCTAGCACCTAGTTTACTGGCATGAAAGGGTGACACCTACTGGTAAAACACAATATTTTTCCAATTTCTGAAGTAGGCTATGCTATAGTAAATTGGCATATACAGTGAATTATTATGATTTACATTACATTACAATACATTAAGTCATGTATTTTACAACCTACCAGTATATCTTACCTTTAGACATTTTGTAGATTTTCTGCATGCAATATCCATTATTCTAAATTGTTGTAGCCTACTGTGTGTCTACGTTTATGCAGGTCTACCATTTCATAACGTAGCATGTCAGTTTTTTCCCCGCCTAATCATTATTGTTTATTGTTCCAGATGAAGTGATACTACCTTCTTTTTTTTTTTTCCTTTTCTTTTTAAATAAAACAATATTAAAATTGCATAGATTATTTGCCCATTGACTGTGTTCTTCCCGGGGTTTTAACTTCTAGGCTCAAATTGGCTGCCCAAGAGAAACTTTGTGTGCAAATAAGATTCTTGTCACATGTTTTTCTTATGTATCATTCATCGATTTTACTGTATCGGACCTCTTTATAATTATAGAGAACAGAAAACTTTACCCAAGACTTTGAATGAGGGAATGACCCGAATAGGTGTTGTTGACTTCCCATTTGCTGCCCATTGACAGTTCGGTTAGTGCGTTGTAGTACCACACGAATACGTGTCACAGACTATTTAACTGATTGGTAGGTCGTCCATAGTGGTGATTATTCTGTACAAGATGAAGATTACCTTGGCAAAGGCCCACTGTGAACACATTGTTGTGTTTTGCGGGCTTGATTGGATTTTAATTGGCTACTTACGCTGATGCTAACAACCAACTAGCACTAGCAGGCTAGCAACAACAGGACTCCTACAGAGATGTAGTAAATGCATTTTTACTGTGTCTTTATTCATTTCTTTTAGAGGACAGCACCATGATGTTTACCTTTTAGAACGGAAATATGCTAATTTGTTTTTAGATTGGCAGCACCGTCTCTATTATTATTTACATGGTTGTGGTTCATGGATATTGTGTTTCGATTAAAAGAAAGACAAACGCTTTGACAAACCAGGGTGTTGGGACCAACTAATGATGCTCTGCGAAATTGTTCAACAAAATTATAAAAAGGCCTCACCGGGAGGATCACACCAGGACTGTCTGGCAGTGGGTGGCATTTGGACAAAAGGAAGATACTGCCTTGTCTATTTTGATCTCTAACATCTTTAGAAGAAGTATTGGCAAGTGGTGAACGGCCAAACTACTCTCAAGATGGTCCTAGGAATGCTTCTTGTTACCTCTCTTTTTATGGGCTGGGTAAAATGTCAAGAGAGTCATAACATGACACCAGAAGAGAAGACTGTCATCAGGTACAGCTTTTGTAACTA